TAACTTGAATGTGAAATATTTTGACACATAAGGCACCACATTTATGAAGTTTTTAAACTTTGAAAACATTGAAAAACAATCAAATTCAGATGAAACACCTAAGCTGTACTCAGAAAAGGATTCTGATATTTGTAGATTGTTTCAAGAAACATGCTCTGTATTCAGCAAAAGCAGAAGCTTTCTCTGATCTCTTCCATTAATAAAATTGCAGCCCCTTTCAGCCCTACTGCAATAATGCTCATTTTTCTTCAATTACAACTGACTGACTAGAGCATACCAGAATCTAGAAAATATCTCGGCCTCCTAATTGATTAAATTTATTTGGAACAATAAACTGCAACCTGGTAAAGAAAATGTTTAATGTTACTTAATTCTATTCAACAACCCAGAAATCCTTTGTTCTATGTCCAGGTTAAATTTATGGTGAAGTGCTTGCCATGAATGGTGTGATTATAATACATAAATGTAATCGATCCAGAATTTAGTTTTGTTCTCAAAGAATGGTGGCCTGTTAATTCAAACAGACATGCATGCAATGTTTAAAGTTATGTACCTGGCCTTTTGTTGCACTGAAACATAGATCATGTGTCTTTTTTTAAAATGAAAAGTCATTCTCTTGATGTGGGTGAAGTTTTCAAAGTTGTATGTAATATGAGCTGAACCCCAATGCCATGAGGAGATGGATAAAGGGTCTTTTCCTTGACTGGCTGTATTTTTTGATCTTCAGCAATGGTGTTAGATAGAATTAGGGATAGTTGTTTTATTACTTTTGCACAAAAACAAATCTCAAAAGACAGTTACTGGATCAGCCCTTCTACTATATGGCCAAAAGCAAGACTGGTGTCACCTGCTCAACATACCATTCAGATATATGACACAGTGTACACCACAATAGAAGGCCAAGCCAAAGTGTGAATAGCCTTACTAAATTTACAAAGACAAATCCCTGAAGGCTTCAAGCTCAAAACTGTAGATACAAGATAAGGACAAAAACACTAACCAAAAAATAAAATTAATCTGACATAGCAAACTATGTTTATAATAATATAGGAGCAGATCAGGCCATTGAGCCCATCAAGTCTGCCCCACCAGTCAGTCATGGCTGATGTGTTTCTCAACCCCATTCTCCTGGCTTCTCCCCGTAATCCTTGATCCCCTTACTAATCAACCTAGTATAATATACAAAAAGCAATGTCACAGTTTCATGCCAAAACTGCATAATTTGACATCCATACAAAGTACTAAATGTTCAGAATTTCTTGAGACATTCAAACTCCAAAAAAAAATCAGAATTAACAAGCTCCACCTCAAACTCAGCTGAACTAATTCAGTGTTGTCCCCTAAATTGAAACAGACCTTTCCTAGCAAAACAGCGACCATGTTCTTCATCACCAACAAAATGTTTCTGTCGTGCCACCAATTAATACAACAGCTTTCCACTTCACTTACAATGACTGCTGCACTGAAACTAGCTATAAGTTCTTCAGTGTTAGAAAGAATTTGGATATACATCATTCCATACAAGTAACACCTATCTATTGACAATATCATTTAACTTGCTTTTGAAAAAGAATTCATCTTGTCACCACAATGGAGTTAATCCAAGTTAAGGGAAAAATTCATTGCATACAGCAATGTTGCAGTTTGTGGATTGACAGGTGGGAGGTGGCATCTGACTTTTACCTAAGGACCTTGCAATAATACAGAGATTTGGTATCTTGCATCCTGTTGAGTTGTACTAACAAGCTGACAGTTTCCTCTTAAAAATACTAAACGCACAATTAAGAAAACACAACCTTACTTAATTGACATGAGCTTAGTTTGATGTCTACTGTCAGAATCAGCATATCTGGGAAGAACTAAAACAGAGGACAATATTAGCAATTCCAATGAAGAACATTCACCAAGAGTTTTTCAACATTTTTAGCCAAATGCAGTGCAGAATTACATTTCCCATAGTAAATTGTATAACAATATATGTCACTACATCTGCAACATCATATGAATTCTGATTCAAACCTTTCCAAGGAGAGGTGAAGTTGGTTAATTCAGATTCTAGTGATTCCAAGTCAACCACTTGCCATGAAAGTACGTCTTAAGAAGTCATGAAAAATTGGTACGGCTTTGGGTTGGTCTACAATATTTGAGCAAGAATAAGGATGAAGATGCCATTCTTAACTTTAAAAAAAAGTGTCACAGTGAAAAAATAAGATATCTTACCAGTTATTCTCAAATGAATTATTACTTTGGAAGCAATCAAAATTTTTGATCTTTAAAAATCAAGCATACTATGCATTAGTCCGTTAACAAACTCTATTCTTTGCCAATAGTATACCCTTTAACATAACACCAAAGTCATTGAGAATGTATTCCATTCTTCAATTCTATTCAACAATGAAACAGGAGTAAGTGGTTCTCAATGTAGCCTCTTCACATCATATGTCTCAATCATTCCAATGAAGTGGTTAGGAATCTTGCAGGATCAAAGAATTTTTCCTCTGGTCATTTATTAAAGGTCAAATTATTTGTTTTCGCCTTGATTCAGGATCACAGAATACTCTGTCAACTTGTCTAACATTTTGCTAAAAGCTTCAATAACGCTTAGGGCTTCATTATCTAATGCATCAGCAATATAATTCAGGAAAAATACTTATGATAATACTTTCTTAAAACAAAATGCAATATTCTTAATCATTCACTAAAAATTTGTCCTAGCATCGCCGCCACCAGTAATCGACCTTTCTAAACTCTAACTGTGGTGCAGATCCAATTGGACGATCTCAATTTGTTCTCTCCAGATGTAACCCACACTTGAAAGGACAAAACCTAACAGTTGCGCTGGGTGTTTTCCGAATTACACGCACAAAATTCAACATGCTCACAAACCCATAATCTGTACAGCTTTACTGAAACCCTACTGACAATCAGAGTTCAATAGGGTGGCATTTCTTCAGCCGATTCAATGAGCCATTAGCAACAGTACACTAGTTTTGAGCAACCTCTTACATTTTCTGGAGAGGAGAAAAACAAGACTAAGAATATTAAAATACTTAACTGAAACATTTGACAGCATTGAAAAGCTTGAGTCATAAAAATGCAATTATTGTTGTAGCAGTGCCCCTAATAAACAAGTAAAAGCTATATAATGTAATGAATGACAAGTAGGCAAGCATGCTCACACACCTGATAGTCTCAAAATTGTGAAATAGAAAAAAGATGGCAAAACATCCACTGAACAGTACCACAGTACTACAGCTCCAATGTGAGAATGTCCACTTACTGTATCAACATTATAATTTTTTGATTATAGATAATATATGCATCCGTACAACTTTGAAAATGTTCTTTCTGATTAAGAAAATATCACGTTGTCTAGCGCTATCAAAATACTTGAGCGTAAAGATGAATATGGAAATTATAGAAGTTCTATTTGTTTTAGCAAAATCAGCAACAGAAGTTAGCATCAGTGCTGCGGATGCACAAATACTACAATTTTAAATCACATAGGCATACACCACCATGTCTATAACCACTGCCTTGATACCATTAATGCTTATTTAAAATTTGTAACTGTTAACATATCTAATTATTCTGCAAAGCTATAAAGATCTTATTTCTGAAGAAGGGTCTCGACCCAAAACGTCAGCTTTCCTGCTCCTCTGATGCTGCTTGGCCTGCTGTGTTCATCCAGCTCTACACCTTGCTATCTCAGATCTTATTTGAAGTTTATTTCAAGTTGTTCATCATTTTAAAAAAAAGACAAATCTATCCCTTCCTTCTTTAAACCAAGGATTTTACGCTATGCTAAAAGTAGTTAAACATAGTTTGACATCCAATTTATATTTGTAAATGTCAGTCCATATCCCTCAAAAATTTCTGACAATCTAGAAAAATAAGGCAAGTCACTGTCTAAACTTAAAAAAAATTGGAGAACTTAAAATCTGGTAGATTTAGAAAGCTCGATTCCCAGCGTGATAATCTGGTATGATTAAATATTTGTCCAATTTAAAATTTCCAAAATCATTACAAACAGGAAAAACTAATAACAGCAAAATATTATTTGGAATAACAAAATTGAATGACAAAGCCAGATGTTCAGCCCTTTCCATCATAAATAGTTTAAAAGCAAGGTGTTTGTGACGTGCGGTTGTAAGTGATAATAGCCACTGAAACAAGATCCAAATCACCAGCTACATTTTTATACAAAAAAAAAATCGTTTGCCCTTGGCTGTGCAACACAATTCTGAAATGATCGCCATGTCTCACGTTGTGAATGGACTCAATGAACTTTCTACAAACAATGGTGTCAGCATGGAACAAAACTATGTTTGAAACAAAATATAAATACAACTTCCATCAGCAACTTAAAATAGACAAGTTGCATCCAAAAGGAAAACAAGTAAACATTTGCTGACTGCTTAAAAAAATGCAATGCACTGAACCAGGAACAGATATATCACGGCTATACCAAATTTCTGAAATTGAGCAAAGAAGCAATGGGGGATTTGTAGTTATAACTGCGGAAACGCCAGGCACACAGCTCGGCTCTCGTAGTATAAAATGTATCCCGATGAAGATGATGAGGATGATGATGATGATGTAAAGTGTGAAGAGGAGGGCGAAAGTCGGATGCAAGGCCCAGTGCCTGAGGTGTATGTGTTCGTACAGGGGTCGGGATCTTACTCTGCTCCCTGGCTCCTCGCTGCTTGGGTTGGCCTGTCCGCTTTTTTTTACGATACTCGATTAAACCAGAGAGAGAGAGAGAGAGAGAGAGAGAGAGAGAGAGAGAAAGGGGGGGGGGGTGCAGTGGAGAGGGAGACTCAGTCAGAGCCCAGACAAAAAAAAAGGCACAGCAGCCGCCCAAGCTTCATACGATCAGCCCGCGCTCCCCGCCGCCGCGCTCGGCAACATTTTCATCGAAAAAGTTGTCGCCGACGCCAAAGGGACGGAGCTCTAGCGGCTCCGGGCGAGAAATAAAGAAAGAAAACGTTAAAACTTACCGCATGAATTATCTCCTAAAATAACTCCAAGATGGCTGTGTATTGCACCGGGGATGCTGGGTGCTGCCCTTTACCCTATGACCTTTGCCCCCCTCCCCTGGAAGCAGGCGAAAGGATGACAACAGAAAATAAACAGGTGGAGGCGAGTAAAGGAAGAAGCGTTTCTATTTCTTATTATCGGGTTCTGCTTTCACTTTCTTTCCTCTCTTGTTGGAAACCTTCGTTGTTTATTTTATTTTAACGCATCTTTCTCTCCTCTTGAGATTTTGTTTTGACCCAAGAAAAAGCCTCAAAATCCCGACACTGTGCTGAGAGAGAGAAAGACACACACACAGAGAGTTGTGTGTGTGTGGCCTGGAGCTGATGATGAATGTGGCTGGGATTGATAAATCAACCATGTGTATATTTCACCCTATTTCTGTCTTGCACTATTTTCGCCAGTTCCAAATGATATGTGAATGGTGTAGAACTTCTAACCGAGACAAAATACGAGGGGAAAAAAGCAATCTGTTTCTGAAGAAGGGTCTAGGCCCGAAACGTCAGCCTTCCTGCTCCTCTGGTGCTGCTTGGCCTGCTGTGTTCATCCAGCTCTACACCTTGTTGTCTCGGTTTCTACCCGTCGTCTTTATACAGTAAATTTGCCTTTTGGTGAAATTCTTTTTATACTTTGTATAAAATGTGGAAATTTTATATTTTAAGAAGTGGTTTGCTATATATTTCTCACCATAGAAATTCTTTTGAATCTTTTAGTAATTGCATCTGTCAGGCTTGTGTAACTGCATTGGTGTTAATCTTTGAAATTTATTTATACTGGTATGATCATTTATCTTACTGTCCAACTGTAATCTTATTTTGATTCTTGATTTAATTAATATCATGTAACAGGCGGCTGCAACTAGAAACAAAGCAGTAATGGAAGAATTGTGATGATGTCATAAATTGTAAGTATAATATTTAACATAACCAGAGTCTTAAATAAACTTATATTGTATTGCCTGTCATTGTTTGCCACTTAAAATATTTGCAGAATATCTTAACATCTATTTTTATTTCATATGATAACAGTTGCCTATTATTTTGGAAGTTTTTTTAGCAATTTTGAAAATGATATTGACAATGACCGATGTAAAGGTAACAGTCACTTTATCTGTGGAGATACACAGCGTAACACAGCTGATACTGTCACAATAAAGTGTATTTAGCAAATATCCAACTCAATAAATGATTAATTTGAATAAGCTTCGATATTCACCAAGATTAAATCTATTGTTTTGTACAATTTCGTACATGCAGTATGCTGCAAAGACCAGCCAGCTTGAGTGAAATATCAATAATTGATATACAGATGAGCAGCTTCTAACTCTAGTACTATTTATTATCAGATCCAAATAATAGTAAATTTAGGTACTTGCAAATATCCATAGAATTATAGATATAGACAGTGACTGCAAAACTGTAATTGAAACTTGAGTTTCAAATAACTGTTAAAAGGCCAAGAACAAAATTACAGTAGCCTGCTAACCCAAAATCTGATTACAAAAGTAATAAGATTGCAACTTTCTTCTACCTGATAGTACAGTGACTTAGATTGTAGGTATTTTCTAACCAACCCGTTCAGAGATGATATCACACACCTCTGGAGCAGGTGGAATTTGGACCTGGACCACCTGGCTCAGAGGTAGGGGCATTACCACTGTACCATAAGAGATACACAAATTGCAACACCAGACTGACATTTTAATTAGAGCCATTAAATACATAAACATGCAACATCAAGGAAATCATGTAACATTTACAAATCATTAGCCTAAGCTGGAGTTTTGTGTGTTGTTCTGGACATTACATTTTAGAAAGATGTCAAGTCCTCCGAGGGGCTGCAAAGGAGATTCACCAAGATGGTAACAGAGTTGAGCGACTTCAGTTATGTGGAGCAATTACAGAAACTGACATTTTTATCCTTAGACCAGAGAAAATTAAAGGAAACCTGAAATGATATTTAGAATTATGAGAGATCTGATAAAGTAAGTCTAGCAACCTAATTTGGTGTTGATTGTCCACAAGGATCTCAATGGCCATTGTTTTTTCATGTCCCTTCCCTAGTAGTCTGCAAAATCATGAATGCTGCAAAGCAGACTCCACAGGAACTTTAAAATGGCAATTGGATTTACAATTGGAAGAGGATTAATTTTCAGCATCAGAAGGAGTGTGGAATGAAATTAGATAGCCATTTAAAACAACAAGGTGTAGAGCTGGATGAACACAGCAGGCCAAGCAGCATCAGAGGAGCAGGAAGGCTGACGTTTCGGGCCTAGACCCTTCTTCAGAAATAATTTCTGAAGAAGGG